GGGCGAGACAAGCCATTTGACGCCTACCCAGAGTATTTAGGTTAATGCACTACATTTGGGTTTAATAACATTTTACTTCACATGGACAGTTTGAATTAATAAGTTAAAGACCACTTACTTACAAAAGGCTGAGTATCTTATATTAAAACGGTATGTCTTCATATTAAGAAAAGCATGATGCCTGTTTCATTCTTGAAGTATGTTACGGGTGAACGGGAAATATGACTGAAAACTATATTTTAGTGAACCCATATCCTGTTGGATTTGCTTCGATACTGACATCCCTTTGATTATGTTGCATGTTATCACCTAAGGCGCGTGGATGGCTTTTCCCACTGACCTCTTTGTTCATTGATTTTCTTTTGTTACAAGACCCCGCACTTTACTTACCGTGACTGGAGTAAGACTTGTTGCAGGTCTCTTTTTGGATAGTCCTGGTACCCCAATATATTTATATTTCCTTGTTTTGTAATGTCAATGAATGCAAGGCATATCCTTGTCTTGGAAATTCTAAATCTCTGATGTGAATACATCTCTGTGATCTGAGTGTATGAATATTTTGCACTTGAAAAGGCTGTCACATATCTTTTCCAAAAGCAATACAATTTCTGTGGCATCACACTATCTACGTAACACCAAACAATATCATAATGTATTCTCATAATAGTCATTTTTATCAAATTTATATCAGCTGTGGTTATCACGTGAAATCCTGACCTGCTTATTCAAAGTCGTTATAATATAACATATTCAATCCTGTACACTATCGTGTTTCAAAACTGAATTATTGAAAAATCTATATTAATTATTCACTATACACTCTGTAAGATTATCAACCAGTTCAATGGTGTATTTTTCGGCTCCAGTTACGTCTGTATCATTAATAATTTATTTTTGTTGGTGCAACAGTTATTCGGAAATGTGTGAAGGTCATAATAGTATATGACTGCATAATTTTTGTTTAGCAACAAACAATGGATGGTGCTCCAATCCTAGCATTTCTTGTGTTTGTATCTAGGATTACATTTTCCTCTGGTAGTAATAAACTAACACTGGTTCTCGTACTGTGTCTCAGGTATTCAGATAAAGTCTCTATTCTGTGTAGATTTAAATTGTGAAACCATCGCAGAAAATGCAGAAACAGATCACCAATTATACGAAATTATTCACGTAGCATGAATTTCCATTCTTCTGGTAGACCGAAGCCAGGTCACTACAGGTTGTACTTATACGCATCTTTTGAGACTAAATGTTTCTCAGAAAGCTAAAGTTAGCTTATTACATAATATTGTTACGACAGCGGAAGTCACGTGACGCTGGTAACACGTGATGAGATTCTCGAAGGATCATATATTTTCCAGGCAACTCTAGTTTGTTCCAGGCGCCCTTTTCTTTTTTAACATATAAGCCCGGCAAATAAAGCGAGGATAGAAACTTTAGTTTGTTCCAGGCGCCCTCTTCTTTTTTTAATATATAAGCCCCGCAAATAAAGCGAGGATAGAATTGCATAGATAGATAGATATGCAGATAGATTGAAGAGACAGATAACTGAGTCAAGCGAACAGTAGGCACCGTAAGTAAAGCGTGTGAATCACTGTGATTTATAGCGTGTGTTTATAAAAGAAGTTAAGTTTAAAGTGACTGGGAAAATTCTGAGTATTAAGAAGTTGTATCGAGAAATAATAAACTAATTTTAATTAAGAAAGGAATTGTATCACTGAAGTTCCTCGGAAAGAATTTATACCGAAAATTAACAAACGAGCAACAAATTGGTGTCAGAGAGTGGGACTGAAAAGAAAAAAAAAGAAGAAGAAGATGGAAATCAGAGGTGGCAACTCAACTTACAGCTTATCAGATTTGATGGCAGCAATACAAGAACAGCAAAAGAAATAAGAAGAGAGACTACAGCAGTGGCAGGGAAACCAGCACCAGTGGCAACTGGAACAAGAAATGAAACAAGAAAAACGAGAAAAGAAACAGGAAAAAAGACTCCAAACAGTTGAGAGAAAGCCAACACACACAAATGGATAAGATTAGTAAATTTCAAAGGGATTTAAATACATTAAAGGATGATTTACTGTCTTTTACACAAGGGAGATATAATAGCCATAGACCTAATCAGCCTCAGACAACGGGAAGCCCCTTCCAGACCCCGCAGCTAAACCCTAATGCAGACATCTTCAGTCCTGCCAGAAGTCACATTCCAGACATGAGTGTCAGCAATAAGGGTGATCTAGTACGATGGAAGCCACAGGAATTTGATGGGGAGGCATCATGGGAAGCATATAGAGTACAATTTGAGCTCCTGGCAGAAATGAAAGGATGGACGTAGGAGCAGAAGGCAGTGTACCTGGCAAGGAGC